CACATTAAATAAGCATATTGAGCTGCTATTTCAATAGCATATCAGTACACAAAGCTACCTTCCCTGACCTCTCTTTTTCCTAGTGCAGTAAACTTGCTTTCTAATCTGTTGATTGCAAATGTATGCTTATGGGGCTAAACATACATTGGATTCCTAAGAGGAAAAGTTGAATGATGTGTGAAAATTAGCTATTGGGAATGGCATAGGTCCCCACTTTCAAGCCAAGATTTTCTTTAAGCTAGGTGCGTGTGCGCATGCAAAATGTCTCTGCCTCCCTACACACACCTGTCTTCCTCCTTCGCGCAGCAATTGCATTAGATTCTGGTTGCAACCGAATCCTGCATGCGAAGGGGAGTGGAGCTGGGCACGTTGGGGCAAAGGCGAGAGAGAAAGAGGCAGAGCCCTGCCCAGCAAGGCTGAAAATTAGAGGGTACAGTGGTGCCTTGCTTAACGGGTGCCCCATTTAACGACGAATCCCCATAGCGATGAAGATTTTGCGATCGCATTGTGATGTTGCCTATGGGGAAAAATCGCTTTGCGATTTTTCCCCATACGGCCCATTTTCCCCTAGCTGAGCGGCGGGAGCTTCGGAAGGACCATGGGGGGGCTCCCCCGCGGTCCTTCGGAAGCTCCCGCTGGTCAGCTGGGGGAAAATGGGGCTATGGGGAAAAATCACAAAAACGATCACAAAAAAGCCATCGCTATGCGGATTCATCATTAAACGGGGCGCCCGTTAAGCGAGGCACCACTGTACATGCATGGTATTATCAGTAGCTTCCTGCTCAGCATATGTTTAAAGGCAGACATTAGTATGTTGCTACACACTATGTGAAATAGTACTAAGAGAAATATGATCCCTGCTTGCTTAATATACATTTTAATTAAGCAAGCAGGAAAATGGAATAAATTCTCAAATAATATTGTAGGCAGAAGTTACTGCATAAGAGACAGAAAATTTAGGAATATCTCTGCTCATCTATTTCGCACAAATAACCTGTGAGAACATCCTAAAATGGAAAATTATTGTCTCTCAAGTGACAGTGCATGTCTTCTACAGTCTGCTTATTTAAATCGTAATTTACAGTATTTCTCCCCAGCACCAGATATTACAACCAGTGTTCCCTGTTTGTTTCCCCCAAACACAGGTTCACTCTCTGGATATGTTTACTTTTTCTTCCACACCACCAATAGATCTCTCATCCACACTGCACCATATATGCGTTAGACACGTGCCAATATAACTGGTTTATTTCTCTTTTGGTTTTTAAATCACATGTTCTTTTATTATTGTTTAGGATCACTCATTAAACTTCTTATACAGTGGACCCTTGACTTACAGACGGCTTGACTTACAGACTTTTTGAGTTACAGACGTCTCTGGCCGCAAAATTTAGGTTTGACTTGCAGACTGAGATTTGACTTACAGACCAGAAAAAACCCAAAATGGAACAAAAACGGTCTG